GTAAATGTTATTGTGAGACAAGCTTGCTAACCATTTACACCACGTTGAGCGAGCCGAGTGATGCATAAGCGTAGCTTAGATGTGGCACAAGGCCGAAAGCATGGGGCGCTCAGTGAGAATCTACTCAGTTGTAATTGTTATAGCGATCCAAGCTTGTTAACCATTTACACCACCCGAGTGATTTTCTAAGCGGAAGGCCGAAAGTATGTGGCACCCAGTGAGGTTCGAACTCACTACTCAGTCGTAAGCGAGAAACTTGTTAACCATTACCCCTCATTGCCTCATAACCATTACTTATGTACGTGATTATGTATGAGAGATTCTGTGAGTGAACGAATGAAAACGAAAGAAAATCGACAAATGTTTAATAACATTTATTTACCTCATTTTTTTCCTAATGAAATTGTGCGAACCACAGTTTGAAAATAACTTTGTTAGACGAAAGTGAACTTCAAAAACAAATCCACCCCGCATGTCGTCTTGAAGAATGAAACTACCTCCTCCTACTAAGAGCCGTGACAAAAAATAATGAACTCCTCGGGTTTAATACAATGGTTAGGACTCTGGGACACGGCATGATGCCATGGACCTTTCTGATTTCCAAATGTTTGGCCATAGTTGTACGGTACTTTAGACGACGACGTGACCATATTTGTGACTGTTCATCTTCGCCTCAAGTGGAACTCGTACATACGAACTATGGCTAAAAATGCAGGTAAAAATGGTCAGTCCCCTGTACCGCTCCAGTAAGTACCTGACTCCTCCGGATATCTACTACCTTTGCAGATCAAGCTGAAAGTGGGGCACTAGTGTCATATTTGGGCGGGAGTTGCTCATTCCTCACTTTTCAGTCTTGGTAGAGTTAAAGAGCTTACCCAAGTCCTCGTGAGTGACGATGTATTTCCACCCTCCAACCTTTCACTCAAAGGCGCGATGTGGTGAGTCTCTCATTGCTCTATTGCTATTCCATGGAAAGTGCTCGGACGAAATACCTTCCTTGGTTCCGCCAGGTCTAACTTTCCAAACTAGGACCCGTCATGCCTCTTCCATTGTTACAAACCCCACCCACATTCCTTCCGTATTCCATTGGTGAGAAGTAGGTTCCACTCAAACAGCGTTTTTCCCGCGAGCAACTTTCCCGATCATTACAATCTTAAACTGTTCAAGTCTAGAGTTAAGCGTTATCTTCCCCTTCTATCCGTATAAAATACCCCTTATCAAAATCCTCTGCCTCGAGTGGGACCCGTGCCTTGTCAGGGCGAACCTTACTGTAAAAAAAACCGTCTTATGAATTCTATAAAAATATTTTCTTTTACACATCTTCTTACATTCCTCGGTAATTTGGTATCTCAGAAAAAGTAAGAATAATAAAAGAAAAAAACGAAGAGAAAAATTACTATCCACATCACATTCGCAACCATTTGATGAGCATATCTTATCTTTTCTTTTTTTCTCCAAAGACAAGCCCTTTTTCGTGTCATATGTTTCGGGTCATGCTTGGCCGGCACTTATTGTCATGTTATTGTTTGAACTTTGAACATTTTATTTTTTCCCCCCGCTGGTTGGTGTAAAGAATTAATGAGAGTAGAGGGTGGGGTCGGTTTTCATTTGCTTTTTTTTATTTTCTTCATTCAGCTGTTTCTTCCATTTTTTTTTTTTTCTTTCTTTCTTTCTTTCCTTCATTCTTTCTCATCCTTTGGGGAGGAGATTGTCAGTGTATTCTGTTTATTTTCGCTATGTCTACGAGTCATTTATTTTTCTCTTCCATAACACAAAGCCCCAGCCGCATATCTCTTTCTTTCGATTTCCCTCGTTTTATAGCCAGCAGCACCTGTTGCAGACTTTCATTTGCACTTCCTAACCCGCCATTTTGTTTCTTAAGAACGTCTCCTGCACATAAATAGCAAAACAACGGTTAGCATGTCGTTCTCACAAGCCAGAGTAGAAAATGTTCTCGACATGTGGCGTGGAACCCAAAAGAGCCAAGACCAACATTTTACAGCTGTCTTGAAGGTTTGTTTAATAGCTTAAATATTTGCGAATTTCCAGTTGGCGGTCATTTTTCAAGATTCTAATTTCCAATGCTGATTTGCAAATTAACTAGGCTCTCGTTACTGCACTTACCGAAAAGAATAGCAAAATATGCCCGCTTTCATTTGACCCATGGGTATCAGCTAATATGAGGAATGTGCTACAAACATTTACTTACCCAACATGATTGTTACTATATGAGTAAAATCTCGTGAGTTAGATATTAACACTGCTATTCTCAATTTCTACTTAGCCATCATCCAGGTTGGCTCCCTTTGCCGCGCCGGGAAATTTTTCTCCCTAGAATCGATCCTTCAGATCTACAAATCAACAATTCGCCCTTGCATGGAGTTTTGCTGCCATATATAGTCTGAATCTCCTTCTGTTTGCCTCGGGGTTCGTGATAAGATCCAAAGGCGGATATGCAATATAATTGGCCCTGATCTGGCATCTCGTCTACAGTCGCTCTCTCACAGACGCGCCGTCGCCTCTCTCTGTCTTTTTTACAAGTACTTTAATGGTAATTGCTCCGAGGAGCTGCATCCGCTGGTTCCCAGACTTCATGAATTCAAGCGCCTTACGAGGCTGGCATCCCGCTCTCACCTTTTCAGTTGAGACACCTCCAGTTGCCTTGATCTATCCACTATCCTTCTCCTCATCCTTTCCTCTATCACTCCTATCTGCTCTTGCTCCAAATCTTCTGTAACCCCTTGCGTCCTAGTGGCTTCCCGCCTTGCTTGGGGTGAAACGCTTAAATAAAAAAAAATGCATGGGCTTCACAGATACAATCCCTGAAGAATGAAACGTCAAGTAACAGAGGTTACTCTTGTGAACTCTGCCACAACAGCGTCGTTTTTGTGGGGCCGACTCCCAGATAAATGTTGCTTAAAGTATCCAATAGCCAACTCAGAACTAAAGATGTGTTAAAAATAAAAACAGCCACGTCACTGGATCCAGGTTTTTCAGTCAGTAAAAAAACTGTGTTCTGGGATGCAAAACAATGTGCTACTCGGGAACAGCATACAGACATTTAAAACCGTGAGATACTGTGGAATATTTGACAAAGATGAGATATTCCGCAGAAGAGACGGACATGTTTGCAAATGGATCTCATCCTGATGCACGACAACGTCACCCCATACACCTAATCAGAAAAGTGGGAGATTCGTCTGTTTAACCCTCATAGTCGACTTGGTTTCAACAGATTATCATTCGTTTAGGATCTTCAAACGACATTCAACCGGGAGCCGGTCCTATACTGGGGAGGGGGTATAAAATTGACGCGATGCCAAGTTCATCAAGGAGGACTGTTGTTCGTTCTTACCCTCATTGAATAAGTGCGTGGAGATTATGTAGAAAGATAGCATAGTAATCCTTTTTGTTTTAATCGAATTCATCCCATAAAAATGAAATAAAGCCACTCAGACACAAGAGGTGAAAATATTAGTAAACCGAAACATTATTAAGGCGAAAGAACAATAGAAGACAGTCGATAACGATTGACATTGTATTTAAATTTCTGATCAATATTGGCTGGAAAACGTTGAGTCAGAAGTGGGTTCCATGTGCAAGAATTGAGAGGAAATAAAGTGTTAGCAAAGAACTTATGCTTACAGTTCAACCGTAAATTGATGGGACCTTGTTGCCAATCTAGTACTGCGCTTAATTTCATAAAGTCTAGGCACCATAACGAAAAGCTATAAAATATTTATAGAAAAAGTACAAGAATCAACTTTACGGCATTGGGGAAATGACTGAAGCCGAGATGCCAGGTCAGGACCAATCATATTGCTGATTCGTCTTCGGATTTTATCAAGAATCTCTCAATATATAATGTGAAAATTATTGCTCTCAGCTTGCGATATGCTATTAATCATTATGACATGGCCCCAAAATTAAAAATTCAGCGTGAGATTCAGGCATTGCCAGTGACATCCAGAAACAGGAAGATCTCTTTTTCATGCTGCAGAAGGTCTGGAAACCGGAGGAAGCTCCGGTTTTAATGCACTGCATCTTCTCTTCTACCCTTTCTCCTTAATTTGCGACCAGAAAGAAAGATATTGCCTAGAAGTCGTTATGACTCCCTGTCAATAACCTCTGTTGTTTACGGTAGTCGATTTCACAATAGACATACTTACTCATTGATGGGTACTGATTATCTCAAAAGATAATCAGTAATCATTTTTAGGGAGTCACTGTATCTATTATGTGGGACCTTCTTGCTCCACTAGCAAGGGACCAGTTTGTCGAACAGTTGATTATTTGACCTTAAACCTTGCCATAGGTCTTGCCCTTTTCACTTTCCTTTGTATTTTTGTTTTAAAACAATTTGCATATGTGACTTTTAATTTTTTATACTGAGCTTGTATAACGAGGTTCACCAGTCAGACGAATGCGTGAGTGAACAAGAATCTCCTTGGTTGCATTTCTCTATTTATCTTGTTTTCCTTTTTTTAATTGCATTTGACCAATAAATGGCGGTTTACTTATCTTCTTAGTTTTTAAACTATGTGACACTTACGAGACCGACGAAGGCCTCAACTTCAGGTAATTTAAAAATTGCAACCCCTTGCAGATTCTTGAAGCTATTTCGGGGACCTCGAGAAGGAAAGGTAAGGTGTGTTTTTTTTTTTTTATAATCAGATCGTTGATTGATTTGTTTTTTTTTGGGGGGTGTTTGTTTGGGGTTTTTTTGTTCTTTTTTTTGTTTTTTACGGTTTGTCAACCATTTGCAGGTTATTTAAAGCGATAAAATATTTTTGAGTTATAAAAATGTTTCGGAGATAATAATGGCTTACTTATGCAAGTCCTACTATTTAATCCATAGCTGGGAGAGACAATGTGGACCCATACCTTTTCCAATGGAATTTGCGCGTAAGTGAACATAACGATCCCAACTGGAATTGAAACTCGGCTCTCCGATTTCCAATTCCCAGCTGTTATCCATTACACTATTCGCACATCCAAACTTACAACACCTGGTATTCCCAAGCAGTCACCTATCTAGGTACTGACCAGGTTCAACATTGCTTAACTTTGGTGATCGGAGGGGAACTGGTGTTTCAACATGAAATGGTCGTAAGTCTGAATCAATTCACTCCAAGCAAGGTGATAATGGCACTAAGACGCAAGGAGCTACTAAGTGTAAAAGAATTAGAAGTATTTAGAAAGAACAAGAAATCCAATCCTCAATAAGGAACAAGGGTTAAAGCTCTACCCGCGTTCAAAAGACCGGGGCTCTGTGTACAGCGTCAATAGGCAGACCTACTTACTACTTAGTTTAGGCGAAGGTGTCAGAAATAGAGTTGGAGTAGACTTTAAAAGGAACCGGAAACCAATCCTAAACAGGAAACAAGAGATGAACTTGTACTCCTGTTAAAAAAAAGACCGGAGAAGGTATATCAGGAAATCGGTTATGATAATTCAGTCAGTTATGTGCCATGCGTGATACACGCTTAGTTGATCATGTATCTTTCGATACATTACTGATAAGGCAGATATTTTCCTGCAGTAGGTTGCCATTTCTTTCTGCGGTAGACCAGATGCCATCCAAAGCTATAGAACCCGGTCTGTCCTGCTATTTACCCATAACTGGGGGTAGGGAGAAGAACAGGGTACGTACCTTTCCCAAGGGTATTAACACCTAAGTGAATGTTATGGATTCGACTGGAATTCGAACTCGGCTCTCCGATTCCTCAATCCGAGCTGCTAGCCATTACTCTACCATTACTCCAGTCTAAGTTGCTGAAGTTATTGACTTCTTCTATTATTAATGGTTGTTTACTTTGGGCGAACTTCCAAACAGAAATATTCTGAGACCTTTACAATTCAGGGCATGAACTGATGAAGGACCGCTTCTAAGTACCAGACTAAATCCGCGTCATTCTCAAATAAAATCTCTGCAACAAAATCGTTATTTTGATGTGGACTCAGTTTATGTGTACGGGTGAAGACATTACCTCAATACCCTTTGTAGCCTATTTCAAAAAAAATATTAAAAACTTGAAGAGCTAGAACGAACACAAGATAAAATTTGATACTTGAAAACGTTTAAGGGATTATTTCCTTTCGCTTTACCAACTAATAACACATCGCGTAGAATTTCTCAACCGGGGTCCATACGGCTCACACAAAAATCAAATTGAGGTACATGGAGGGGGGATACTCAAGGTAGAGGTTTACGATAAGAGGGAGTTTATACGGATAGGAGATAAAGGTAACGGTTAAAAAATAAAATGTATAAAGTTCAAACAATAACATGAGGAACAACCATGACCGGAAAAAGGACTTGTCTTTGGAGAAAAGAAAAAAGAAAAGATATACTCATCAAATGGTTGCGAATGAGATGTAGATATTAACTGTTCTCTTCGTTTTTTCTTTTAGTATTCTTATTTTTTCTGAGATGCCAAATTACTGCGTAATGTAAGAAGATGTGTAAAAGAAAATATATATATAATACAGAATTCATAAGATTTTTTTACAGTAAGGTTTGCCCTATACAAGACGCGATACGATAGGAGGTAGCTTATATGGATAGAAGAAGATAATGGTTAACTTTGGAGTCTGATCCACAGGAAAAAGCTGTTCAGATACACCTGATAGATAGATAGATAGATAGATAGATAGATAGATAGATAGATAGATAGATAGATAGATAAACTATATGTGGAGATAGATAGATAGATAGATAGATAGATAGATAGATAGATAGATAGATAGATTATATGTGGAGATAGATAGATAGATAGATAGATAGATTATATGTGGAGATAGATAGATAGATTATATGTGGAGATAGATAGATAGATCTATCTGTCCCCGTCCTACGCCGACTATTGGCTAATATCTGGCAAGTATCGTTCGTAAGCAAATTTTGTCAACGCCACCTCCTACAAGTAGAATGTTCTATCTCACCAGCCGTTGTGGAAGAGGACGTAACTTCTGGTGCTTACGCCACCACACGCAACCAACTCTTGGTCTCTTGTTACGTTGACCTAATTCTCCGTTACAGGAACCCTTAATCTGCAGGAAACATTTAAATTCTTTTACGTACGAATTCACTTTTGAAAAGATATATGTATAAGAACTGTCATGGGTCCTTACCTATAACTACAGAATGAACTCTTCCTAACACAATGTATACTACGCCTCTCAAGAGAGAGGGTCGAATTGTGTAGAGCTTCTCGGCTTGACGGTCGAACTCTCTGCCTCTGAGCAGAGAGGAACCCGGACGAGGCTCCGCCGAAGGGCAGAGTCTCGTTCGGGGGGGCGGGTGGGTTGACCAACCCGATCCCGTTTATACGGGTTCTACGGGCATTTTTTTGCCGAGCCTACGGGCTCGGGAAACCCACGTTAAACTCGGCTTTATTCCACATTCAACCCTCGTGGGGGGGGGGGCTAGATACGGAATCAAGTCGAGCTTCTCGGCTTGACGGTCGAACTCTCTGCCTCTGAGCAGAGAGGAACCGGGACGAGGCTCCGCCGAAGGGTAGTGACTCGTTCGGTGTGGCTGACCAACCCGATTCTGTTTTTACAGTTTCTACAGGTATTTTTTGACCGAGCCTACAGGCTCGGAAAACCCACGTAAAACTCGGCCTTGTGCCACATCTTTTCCTCGTGGGCGCGGGGGGTAAGTAAATATCGAATCGAGTCGAGCCGATAGTAGTTCACTCCAAACCAGACTGACACTCATACGAACACCTTCCACATCTTGTATTATTATTTCGTGTAATATACCTTCGTTATTTCTACGCTTGAGTTCGTGATGCTCTTCCTTGGTTTTAACCTGGACCATAACTAGAACATATACAGTAAAACCAGTTATTTAAAGTCTTCTTCTATTTGCCGAGTCCCATAACAGTTTGTACTGTCATGGCTTCTCATAACTTCCTGTCCCATGTAGCTCTTAGCAATGTTTATCTTTTTATTATCCCTCCTACTCCCTGTTCTGACAACCTTTTTCAAACGCTTGTCCAGCAGGATACGCGTTGTTAACCTCTTCCCCTTTTGCGTTCAATGTGCCCTCTGTGTGTTCAATTCTCCAAGTCTTTTTTCCTTGGTATTTGCTCCAGAAATTTCAATTCTCCCTTTCTAAGTGTAGCTGTTTTTATTTGCATTTTCCTTAAAACTTCCTCATTGCTCATATGTTCCGTCTGTGCTATTTTCAGAATTCTTCTATAGAACCACATGTTTTCAGTTTGAAAGACATCTTCGAATGATTCCTCTGTGTTTTATATTAAAAATAACGTTAATATTTGATTATAAACCCGAATCTAACCTCCTTTTAATCATTTTTGGAATTCTTCTTCAGGAAGTTGGCGATCATCACTCTCCATATTTTCCTCTCCTGTGTAGCTCTTAATAAATTGTGTCTTTTTGTTATCATTCCTTATCTGCTGTCCATTTAGACAAACCCGTTTAGTAGGTTATGCGTTGTTTTCTTTCTTGCCGTCAGTATGTCCGGTGAGTTCAAATTTTACAAGCCCTCTTTCCTCGTCATGTACCATGGAACTTTCAACTATCTCTTTCTGATCTTAACACAAGTGTCCTTTTGGTTTCCATTTTCTCGAAAATTCTTCACATATTTAGTCCATGGCATTTAAAGTATCCTTCTCCAGAAAGACATTTCTTCTGCTTCAAGTCTCTTCACCCAACAGTCACTGCCATATAGAATGACTGATGTTATATAACAAACAGTTAAGTACTCTTTTTTTGTTTCTAATGAAATTTTCATGTTTCTTAATTCTTTGCTTAACTTCTGGAAGGCATCTTTCACTATCCTAGTGTGTCTTCTCATTTCAGCGTTGCACTTTCTGTTAAAATACTTCCCAGATATTGACATTTTTGTACTCGCTTGATTTTTGTATCTCCAAATTATAATTTGCATGTTGAGTTGTCCCTTTAATTGACAAACATATATTCTGTTTTCTTGCAATTGGTATTTAGTCCTTTCTTCTCGCTTTCCTTCAATAGCTTCTGTAGAATTTCTTTCGGAATTACAATTCCAGTAATCATTTTTAAAAAAAAAAAACAGTTGTCATTCCTATTTTCTTTTAAGCGTTAATGAATGTGCAAATATTTAAAAATGATTATTTAGTTTCTCCGAAATAAAATTAAGGAAGGTTAAAGAACTTTCATATATGCGTGTTCGGTTGTGCGAAGTTAAAGAAGAATACGGATGTTTTAAGTTTGGAAAGAAAGAAAGAAAGAAAGAAAGAAAGAGAAAGAAAGAAAGAAAGAAAAAAGAAAGTTAATAGAAAGAAAAAACGAAAGTTAATAGAAAGAAAGAGAAAGAAAGTTAATAGAAAGAAAGAAAGAAAGAAAGAAAGAAAGAAAGAAAGAAAGAAAGAAAGAAAGAAAGAAAGAAAAAAGAAAGAAAGAAAGAGAAAGTTAATAGAAAGAAAGAAACAGAAAGAAAGTTAGTAGAAAGAAAGAAGGAAAGAAAGAGAAAGACAAAGAAAGAAAGTTAATAGAAAGAAAGAAAAAGAAAGAAAGAAAGTTAATAGAAAGAAAGAAAGAAAGAAAGAAGGAAGGAAGGAAAGAAAAGGACAAAGAAAGAAAGAAAGAAAGTTAATAGAAAGAAAGAAAGAGAAAGACAGAAAAACAAAAAGAAAGAACGAAAGTTAATAGAAAGAAAGAAAGAAAGAAAGAGAAAGAAGGTGTGAATGAGGGAAAAGAGAGAGACGAAACGAGTGGAACGAAGAAAGTAAAAAGGGCGAGGAACCAGAAATATAAGAAAAGAAAGCGAATGAATAAAGGGAGTCTGAAATGGCAAAATTTGTAAGAATTTCGACTCTCACGAAAATTTTAGGAGAAAATGAAAAAAAAAACCTTAAACGGCGGTAGGTAAATAACAGAGAGAGCTGAAAAAAGAATTTATAAATGAAAATGGAGAAAAGCGTGAAGATGTCAGCAACCAGTCAATGCACACACATGCGCATTGACTATCTAACGTATTCTTTCTTGCCCCATTTTCAATTTTATCATTTCAGCAAAAATCTACAAATGTGTATATTTCTTCTGAATGGTTTCCAAACTTAACTCATTCTGTTCTTCTCCTCGTGTTACAAACGAAAAGAAATACCGCCGTATAATTTCCCACGACGGTTTTATTTGATTATTTATTTGTTTGCTCGTCTCTTTTCTCAGTTGTTAACGTTTGCCTCATTTGCACCAATGGTGGATGTGTGAACACAGAAAACAAAAGATTTTAAATACTGTTTTCGAAGACATACTGATTCGTTTGCAAGCTGAAGGCATTTTTGCCTTTGAAAGACTAACATAGCATTGTCCTCCTGCTAGCATTTATACCCCCATCAATTTCGCTTTGCACTGTACTAAAACAAGCTTGCTAAATATCATGATTTGTATATATATATAACCCCTTACTATAAAGGTAAGTTACATTAACCAGAAAAAAGGCTTAGACAGAAGCGTCTATCTTTATAAATTTGGATTTTTTAATGTAACTATAACAACAAAAACATTTCAATTTCATTTTTGCCTTGAAAAAGTAGGAAGACGAAACGCGTCGGCAAGATCTAAGAATTTAACTATATATATATATATATATATATATATATATATATATATATATATATATATATAATTATTTATTTAAAATATGATTCCAACACTACATAAGAGTTCTCATGTTCTTATGTAGCGTTGAATCATATTTTAAATAAATAATTATATTTATGCTCTACTTTTGTATTGAGCACTATTTTTTTTCAAATAATAGCAAAAAATACTAAAGAACTTTGGATTATTTACCTAACGAGTTCTTTCTTATTTTCTATATATTTTTTACACACGCACACACACACACACACACATATATATATATATATATATATATATATATATATATATATATATATATATATATACTGAAGTGCCGAGAGTCTTGGAATGCGAAATGTCGCATCGATTTCTTAAACCTCTTACGGTTTATGAAACCTTTGCAAGTTATTTAAAGGCAGAAATATTCCACCGCCGCAACGTAGCAGCCCTGTGCATATATTATAAATGTTTCCATGGTGACTCTTCTGATAAGCATTCCTCTGTGTTATCTAGAATTTATGAATTTAAACGCAGTACTAGATTGGCAGTTAAATCTCATCATTATACACTTGTAACCGGAATGTCTATGCTAACCGTTTCTTCTCTTCTAACTTGTGGAACGTTTTTCCGGCTTCTTACTTTCCAATCAACTTTGATCTTCATCAGTTTAAATGCAATTTCAATTGTCATCTTCTGTTTTCCTGCTCTTTTGTTGTTCGCTTTCCTTAATATTTTTCTTATATTCTTTCCCTTATTACAGCCATATCACTTTGAAACACCGAGTCCCATATGATTACAGAAGTTAAGCAACGTCGAGCCTGGTCAGTACCTAGATAGATGACCGCCTGGCAAAACCAGGTGCTTTAATCTTGGATATGAAGTTAATTTAATAGATAATGTCTCGAAATCAGAGAACCGAGTTCCAATTCCTGTCGAGTTCGTTATATTTTCTTTACGTGCAAATCACCTTGGCATGAATTCAACTCTTCTTTCTCCAGCTGTAGGTTAATTAAAAAGACTTATATTACTCTATTATTATTAGTTCCAAAAATGTTCTTACAATCTAAAAATATTTCATGGCTTTAAATAACGTGTAGAGGGTTGATAAGCTATAGAAAAAGGAATCACTCTTAAATCATATACGGCCATAGCCGTTGCGGCTTAGTGGCTTTATTTCCTTGCTTAGGGCGAAATGATTAAGACAATATTTTCATTTTTGCAGACTCAAAAATAAATAGGCTTTTCCACACACAAAAAAATCTTTATTGTAAAATACAACATAAAATAAAAAAATGTTTTAAACATATTATCAAACAAGGTTCTGTATTGGATATGACCGCTTCTCAGACGTTTGCAATAAATTGATGTATGCTTCTTGGAGAAATTAGCGCCGATTTTAATCCCACGTCTCTTAAAAAAAATCCCATTAGATTTTGGAGATGACATGGTGATGTCAAAGTTTAGGACCCCTCCACACATTTTCTACAGGATTTAGTTCATGTAACTCTGAAAACCCATGGTTTACGGCTATATCACGTTGAAACACCCATTTACTGAAGTTAAGCAACGTCATACCTGGTTAGTAAGTAGATTAGTGATCGCTCGGGTGCTGTAAGTTTGGATATGCGGTAATGGATAACGGTTGGAAATTGAACATCAGAGAAACGAGTTTCAATTTCTGATCGGGTTCATTATATTCAGTTCCGCGCAAATGAACTTGGGAAAGTTATAAGTCCACCTCTTCCCTCTACAGCTATGGGTTAATTTGTATCAGCAAAAAACAAATCATTATTATCTCCAAAAAAATTCTTACAATTGAAAAGAAAATTCTGGCTTTAAATAACCTGTAAAATGCTGATAACCTATAAAAAATAAATCAATTAACCTAACATCCTTATTTTCTTTACCAGAATCACTCTTTTCGTTATGTTACTGAAAGGTTTCATAGATCGAAGCGTTGTGTTATCAGATCAATGGTTAAAATGGCTACGAGAAAATGAAACCTGTAGCGCATAACCAGGGCCATTTTCTTCGAACCTTGAGAAAAAGGGCACAAGAATCACAAAGAACTGTACCAAATAACAGAAAGTTTCATCACTTAAGAAATTTCAACAATTAAATGGATAGAACTTATATTTCGAAGAGCAAATAATCAAAATGTTGACGTTCCAAACTACTTCAAAGAAATGTTGAAGAAGAAAGCTGCTATCAATACTGGAAAGAAGTGCTAAGAAAAAAGTTGCCATCAATACTAGAAAAAAATGTTTAGGAAGAAAGCTGCTTTCAATACTGGAAAGAAATGTTTGAGAAGAAACCTGTCATCAATACCGGAAAGAAATGTTTAAAAAGAAAGCAGACATTAATACTGGAAAGAAATGTTTGAGAATAAAGTTGTCATCAATACTTGAAAGAAATGTTTAAGAAGAAAGCTTCCATCAGTACTGGAAAGAAATGCTATTAACAAAGCTGCCATCAATACTGGAAATAAATCTTTAAAAAGAAAGCTCCCATCAATACTGATAGTAAGACCCCCCGGGACAGAGAAATATGGAATCATTGGTACCAAACATTTTTAAACTTCCTCACGCATACTGAGGGTTGAAGAGTTGGATAAACTGTGTCATCTGATGTATATAAACTGTTCAGAGAATGTACAAATTTTAAAGACGTTATTAACATTTTTAAGAGAGCTTTCGGCCAAGGAAAAAAATAATATATACACCAGATATGTACTTGCAACCAGAACTCAACAGGGACCATAAAAATGACTTTAAATGCCTACATATTTCTGCTTACCCTCTTTTTTTTCCTTATAACTAGACCGAAACTAGCCGATAGTCAAATCACGCTGAAAACACTAGTTCTCGTTCGATCAGCGAAGTTAAGAAACGTCAAATGTGGTCGGAACTTTGAAAAAAAAAAACAGTCGGGGAGAATGTTGCATTCATATGCAAATCTCCACCATATAAATAGCAGTTGATACAGCGGGAGGCTAATTTAATCCTAACCTTTTGGCTAGGATTAGTGTTCTTTGAATATTAGCAATGTCCAAGATGTCTTTCCCCCGAAGTAGTACCTCTCCCTCAGGAGGGAGATGGGTTTATTGCCCTGAGGCGTCCCCAAAAGAGATAGTGCCGAGGGGGCTTCGGAATTATTATGTGTTTCTGTGTTTAATTTATTTTCTCCTTTACTAGACTGATCCATACGGCGAGTTATTTGGACACCTATATGTTATGGTATACACATATGAAGTGAAGTGCCAAAAAATTATAGACAATACCCGCTTATGTTTCGCTTTCCCCCACTTTTAGAAATGGACACATCACCCTTTTTCCAGTTTTTCGCGATACATAGTAACATCTAATTCCCTTTTATTATATGTAAAGCGCCCGTACTGCTGAAGGAAAACAATTCTTAATGTGAAGCATCTTTTTTTTCCCGGCGTGCCTCATCTCGAAATAAGCAGATGACGTTTCTAGGTGTTCGTAAATGTAGTCCTTCCTAGTGGAGTGTCAGACTACTTATATCCTTGTCTAATTCGCAGCTGGGTCATTTATGCGCTTTCATGTCGGGGGCGGCGTCTGTCATCGGCCGAAGCACGGAAGTGCATTTAGCCTTCGATTCCACAATTCAACCTGCCGATACAAAAGACTTTTTTGAAAGAAGTACTCGAGACCAAAACGAGAAAAGAAACATCAAGATCTGTATTTAAGACAGTTAGCCAAAGATGCCTTCCAAAAGCTAAGCAAGTTAGCAAAAGAAAAGAGTACTGAACTGTTACGCGATACCAGTCCTTCTATTAGGTTGGTGCAAAAATAATGACGTAAGAATGTCGTTTTTTGACGTTAAAAATACGTCAAAAACGACATTATTACGTCATTATTTTTGCACCAACCTAATATATGGCAGTGAATACTAAACGATCTCCTCAAAAATGAAGAAGTGACTTCAAGCAACAGAAACGTTATTCTGCAGAAGGATTCTGGGTATATCTATGGCAAAACATGTGATCAACAATGAAGTTTTGTAGAAAAAGGAAACAAAATCAAACTTGTACTTAACATAAGGAAGAAACAATTGAAAGTTCCGAGGCACATGATGAGAAACGAAGGCTTGGAAAATCTGATACTCACAGGAGGGATTGATGGTAAGAGGGACAGAGAAAAACAACGCATAACATATTTAGTGTACATGATTAAATGAACAGCGGGACAAGTTTTAGGAAGGATAACAAAAAGACAGAATTTATTAAGAGCTACGAAGAACAGGAAATTGTGGCGAGCCATGATCGCCTACGTCCTGGAGTGACATAGCAAATACAGGTTGAAGAAAACGAGCTCTCATACCGTCAGAACAGCTATACCCGAATCCTGGCCCTTAAATCACTGCAATGCATGCCAGGACACAGCGCCAGGGGGGGGGGCTGGAAAATTGGAAAGAAACAAGGAAATGTAATAAAGTAACATGGGTCCACTGTTAAAATATTTCAAAATACAGATATCTTGAGGAGTCAACGATTGATGTCAAAGACAACTATCAAAACTAAACATTTTACCCAGCTTGTGGTCGTGAGTGTGATGAGGACACTAACTCACTCAGCCAAATACTGTAAACTCCAACAATGCAGAATGGAATAACAATTTCAACACACTCGGATTTGTTGCTGTAGTTTCCATCGTAAGTCCATTTTCAAGGGTTAGATTTGCTAGTTCTATACACAACCGATTTTGGATTCGTGGTCGTTCTTCAACTAGACTGGCTGCCAACCGAGACTGAAGATCCAAACTTTGCCCTACAATTTAACTCACAAACTCACCTGCGTTTTATACTACACATATGTTAAGCGGACCTTAGTTGCAATTTCTAAGAGAGAGCACAGTTCGAACAACGCCAGTACACTCAAACCCTCGATCACGATGACTTGTAACTTCGCACTAGCAAGACCATCGACTGTTTTCAATAGTTTACCCAGTTTCACTTAAAAGGCTTAGGTCAACCCTTAGTATGATTTTTAAGAACTTTTCAAAAAGGCCACAAGTCGAGATCGCCTTCTCAGACCGATTTCATCTTTCTAACAAATCGAGCACGCAGTGGTTCGAACAAGAATCTCATGTTATAGTATATAAGTGGTCTGAAGATCACATGAGCGTGAAACTCGGGTTAAGACTAGGACCATCCTTTCATAGGGACAAACGTTTTCAAGCAATTTTTCTGTCTATGTTATCTAGACGTAGAACACGTTACTTTACCAAGTAGGTCTTTTTCTTTTTTCTTCTTTTTTCTTATTGATGTCCTTGTTCGAGATTTTATCTTGTTAGATCTTTGGTAATTTTTCTTTAATATATATCCTGGGGAGGAGGTGTGGGTTGGTGAACAGTGACTATTTATAGCTATATAGCGAGACTCTTCGCAAAAGCGAATCAAGTCACTGTCGGTCACTGGGCGTGTTTCTAAAAATAAATACGCCTTGTACGGCTTAATGGTCAGAATCTCCAACTGACACCAAGTCAGTCGGGTTTCGATCCTAGCTAGAGGCAACTGTATGTCTAGCCGCACTGATGAACTAAGAAAAAAGAAACAGAAACAGGATGTCTGTGGATATATATATATATATATATATATATATATATATATATATATATATATATATATATATATATATATATATATATATATATATATATATATATATATATATATATATATATATAAAGTGTATATATGTCTGCGCTTGTATGTGTGTGTGTGACAAAATATATTTACATTGTCATACCTCCATTGTAGACGCTAATAGTGTGTGAATGAGTACTGAGGCTAACTGCTCTCCTTCCAGTTAACTCGCCAGAACATTAGCAGAAAACAGCTCTTACACCTATCGTCAACCTTGACAAGAACAGACACATATAGGCTAATAGACTTTATTTGTGCAGCCACGCCACACACATTCTCCACAAAACCATTCTCCATATATATATATATATATATATATATATATATATATATATATATATGCGTGTATTTGCCGAATCAAGAACAGCTGCAGTCCTCACAGGCAAGTGCACCCTTGCCACACCCAGCGTTCCCGATGCATTCCATTCCCAACTATTCGTTATTGCCTCCTCCTACTACTAATACTACTCCTCTTCCTCCTCCTCCTTTCTTGTCTTTTGTTCGCAGTAAAGTAATCGGTCAGATTTTGCACAACGCAATGTCAGAATATTCTTTCAGGTCTGCCCACGCGAAATTACTTGAATGTGCCCGACATTGCTTATTACCTCACTACAACAGTCACCCGTACCTCACCATCTTTTTACCGCCCGTACGCACTTGCTTTCCCTCGCCACCCCGTTACAGTACAGCTGTACCACCAACACTATTACCCTAATATAAATAAATTGGTTTATTTTCGTTAATTCCTGACCACTGACAATATACGTTTACAGATATCTACAGTAAAATGAATAAGTATTCATGTGAATTAGTAACACATGCCTTAACTCCTGACCATTGACAATGCATTTTCCTGATTTTGAATACGCTTATGTAGTGCAATATCATCGTTGTCCCGTTTTATAAGGGAAGAAGTCAGAATCTCTCATACGTATACAGCCTTTTATTCACTCCGGACTTCGTTAATTACTGCCAGCAGTTAGGTCATGTGGCTCCCAGGGCACACCCCCTTTAAATATTGACTTGAGGATGCATGTCTTTTCTTTTTTCTTTCCGGGTTGGTGTTATATGATCTTTCCAAAGTGAACACCCTAGGCGCAACTGACGAACACTGAGTGTAAATTCTATCGCAGCATCCTTTAAGGTGAGTTAATACAATTGTACTACATACCTTATTATCTATGTCATATTCTGGTTTGTTCATCTTTCATTTGGTCGGACGCTCCGGACTCAATAGACGGCTGGATAGAACGCATGTCATAATCAAGAAACACAAAAAAAAACTCTCAATCGATCGCAGAATAGAACATATTTCATATTCAGGAAACACAAAAAAGAAATACGTTTCATTGTCAAGAGACACTCAATCAATGACACTGTAGAATATATACCATAGTCAAGAAGTACCATCAGACTTTTGGCGAAGTTAAAAAAACTTATATTTTTCTCTGCGACGTAGAGAATTGGCCAAAGATTTTAAAATAGGTGGAATTTTAAAAAAAAAAAGGCTCCAAGAGTTCCAAACTTATCATAATAAGTGATTGACAAGTCATTCAATGTACAAGTTTTACGGAACGGAAAGGAGAAGTAGACTTAACTAGAAAAGACAGTTGTGTATCTGAATAGGCAGTAGTTAGAAAATTGTGTGAATGGAGCTAGAGAAAAAATGTTTTGAGTCCCAAAATGACATCTACGCCCAGTGTTGCAAAAACAACGACAAAGTTTTTTTTCCTGCTATTCTCAGAACATTAGCGCAACGTGTCTTTAAACTCGATTGACCGATAATGCTAATGGTAATGGTAATATTAGCCGTTTCATTATAAGGAAACATTCGACACTCATTGACTGAAAAGCCAGTACTTCCGTTGGTCGAAATTATAAAATCTTTCTCTTAAAACAATTTTTCCTCAAGTCCAGTGGCTGTTATTGCTCTTTCCAGTATTGACGAGGGGGCCCTTCCTAACCTTTTATTTCAAGTAGAGTGTTATGTCAAAATTATGTCATTATTTTCTTTTCAGGTTACATGTGATATCCATTTGAGCTGTTTCTTCTGTTGAAATATTTCAAAATATGTGCGTTCTGTTATTTGGTACAGATATTTGTTTGAGATTATGTAGCGTCAGTCACAAGGTTCAAAGACGGATCATCTCTTCTGATCAACATTCTTTATTCGCTCAAAAGCATTTTCAACGCTTGATCATAAAGAACGGTTGTATACAGCTGACAGTGTGGATATTTCTGAACAGGTTTAGATGCCATGCATAACATCCATATGAAAACCTCGAACTGACGACGCTATTTAAGAACATAACTTGAGTTTTCAGGTTAATGTTTTAGTTTTGGAGCAATTTGCGGTATTGGGCGGCAGTATCTTTAGCGCAGCCTATTTTATGCTCAATTTACTTTTCTCATATACTAAATTTATTATAACTGATCCATACACTGAAATAGTTGAACACCCACAATCTTATGACATATACATATAAACTAAAGTGCAAAAAAATTAGGGACAGTAGTACTCGTGTATCTCAACCCCCACCCCGGTCTCCCACACACCATTTAGTTATGGACTCATCGAGATGACCTATGTATGATGTAACAGATAAAGAAATAATGGCAATCATGGAATGATTGTTATATTCCCAAGGAGTGAGCATTCTATCTACAAGATAGCACCCGATGGAGGTTTACTTCAGGTAAGATTAGATAAGGTATGCCAATTATATCTACATCCCGGAGAAATAGCTGATACCCACAGGTGATACAAAACAGAGACTGACAAGGATGGCAAACACATAAAAAGATTTACATCACGTACGAATTCAATGCCGGAGTAGCTCAGCCCAACGCCAACACAATTGTACAACATACACGACATCGGATATCATTTCTCCTGTGTTTTCTGGACAGAGGAATCAAGTTTTCATTTTATTCGAGTAGAAAGTCGAATTTTCAGTGCCCTTGAAGAATGTATATATTGAACTATTCAACCTCTTTTAATAAATTGTTTTGCACCAATTACATAAGTTGATCCATCTGATCAACTTACTTGATTGGTGCCATAACAATAAATACTTGATTTAATCACGGATTTCATTCTTGTTAGAGAAGGCTTACAACCATATCACGTTGAAACGTTCTCGTATGATCGCCGAAGTTAAGCAACGTGAGCCTGGTCAGTATCTTGATAGGTGACAGCTTTGTGAATACCAGGGGCTGTTAAGTTTATATGTGCAAGCAGCTTATTGACTGAACGGCTCGGAATTGGGAATCGGAGAACAGATATTTAATTCTTGTAGGGTTCATTATATTCACTTACAAGCATATACCCTTGGGAAATGTATGAAACAACCAATTCTCCCCATCTATGGGTTAATTAGTATGACTTTCATCAGTAATTCATTATTATCTCCACAATGTTCTTACAGTCTAAAAATATTATTTGGCTTCAAATAACCTGCAAAATAATAAAATGTAGATAAGCCATACAGAACAAATCAATTAAACCTTGTGTGCAAAATTGTTTTTTTTTTATTTTGGTTGTTTTTTTTTTTTTTTTTTTTTTTTTTGTTTAGCGGCATGTCAACATATCTATGTTTTATTTAATGCTGAAATCTAAATGTTTTTTACGCAATTTTGTTTTATTTATTTATTTTTAAATTATAATGCTTCTTGTGGTACAAGTCTTACTAATTGACCCTCAGATGGAGGAAGAAGAGGTGGATTCATGCCTTTCCCAAGGGTATTGTGAGTAAATGAATATAACGAACCCAACTGGAATTGGAACTCTGCTCTCCGATTAACAATTCTGAGCCAATATCCATTACACCACCTGCACATATCCAAGCTTACAGCATCTGGTATTTCCAAGCAGTCACCTATCTAGGTATTAACCAGGCTCGACGTTGCTTAACTTCGGCAATCGTACGGGAACCGATGTTTCAACGTGATGTGGCCTTAAGCTAGCAAAACTGGGTCGTCTAAACTGTTCGGAGGCCATTAATGATTGTGCTACATGGTTATTTATTAGTTTAATCAAACATTTACAAGAAAATCAGAAACTTGTATTAAATGACATAATGATATTGATTTGCCGTTAAACGAATCGAAATCTACCTGAGAATTCTTCAATGTAATTTTATCTTTGCTGTTTCTCTTAGATTATCTGCGGGAATAATGTGACGTACTTTTTGCAAAACATTAGTATTCTCAAATATTTTTGATTGTCGGCTCCAAGGATGAATAGAAGGCAAATTCTTCCACAGAACAATTTTCAGTTGAAGTTTAATATCTCCTTGGTTTTAAGATCGTTGCCGTGATGCAGTCTCTAAATTTAAAAAAAATGATCTTTTTGTGGAATTACTTTCAGAATTGTTTTTTTTACTTGACTTATTGTCAGTTAAATTTATAAACGGGTCTTAAATTTCAGTCAAATGATGAAGGTTTTTTTTTTTTTTCATGCAGGGTCAAGTGTTCCCCATCCTCTTGAAAACCAAAACAATTAAAAGCCAAATCATCAACAGGAAAGATCATGTTTTTCTTCACATTTCGAAAAATACATTAAATAGAAGTGTCTACGATTTATTACCCTCAACGGCAGCCGGTGTAATAGAAAATTTGCTTACAGCTTGCATGAAAATGTTAATCAGTGCTTGTTATCCAGTTTGCGGCAAAAGTCACGCACTTTTTTATTTGTTAACTTTTATTGAGCAAAAATAAATTACAGGAGTTTTTTTAAAACTTTATAAGTATTGCTGTATCAAAACAACATGATTTTTTATAATTGCTAAACTATTTAACATGTTCAAATTGCTCTTTTTCATGTTCAATGGACAACGGAAGCCTCTCAGCAAAACTTCGACAAACCATTTCACACATGCAAACATCAATGCCAGAAACTTAATCAGATATTTGCTTGTTTTAATTCAGTCATTGTTTTCTATTTGAACCTGTAGACGTGATCTTTCAGTGCATCCGACAAAAAAATGTCTGACGGTGTTAGATCAGGTGATCGTGATGGCCACTCAATTGATCTCCAGTGTTCTATGCACCTCATCTTGACAAAAAGGGCGTTACTTTTCCGGCACCCTATGTTTCTCGCGCCACTGTTTCCTGCTTTTTATATATAAAATAATTGATTCTATCAGTAAAATAGTTGTCATAAGGAGACCAGCTAAAACACGCACACACTCACACACACATATACAGACATATATATATATATATATATATATATATATATATACTATTGATATAATGTTATTTTTAGTAGGTATTCATATTTGAGTGGTTGCTTTGATTAATTATTAAACTGTATATTTATTTCTTTTCCTCTACCGGCCTGAGTATTTGAGAAATCTTTTTAAAGAAAAATATCCGCTCTCCAGCAAGATTCAAATCTGCTTCGCCCTTAGCTGGAGAAATCGTCATTAGATCTAATGTGTTTTTAGACCGATTCGGTCGCGAAGTGATCGATGATCAAGCATAGTCGAATAGTGCCTTCTAAGCGCAAATCTTTCTCATACTCTCGAATCATTCATATCCGCTCAGTTTCTGTTGTGGCTTTGTTAGGGTCAGAAATAAAGACACAAAGAGAGGAATTGAGTTAAACTAATATATTAACAGAGACAGTAGTACAAACATATGTTCGGTCCGATCGTCAGAGATGACTGCTGGCAACTTCCCTTTCCAAAAGGCAGTACCTGCTCCTATTTATAGCTGGGAGAGTCCATTCATGCGTGGGTAAATTACCATAAATTAAGTTTCGTATCCTAATACTAACAGAGCAATTTTAAAGAAGTGATAGATTTTTATTTATTAATGTTATGGGGTCCACCCCTTTTCATACAAGTGGACTCGACCACTGTGTACTTGTACTGCTGCCAGTGAATACACGGACGTAAGGGAGATACACTGATACAGTGATAGAGTGAGAGTGTGAGGTAACCGCTTTGTAGGAGTCACAGTTGCGAGAACGTAGACTCAGAAGGAAGTCCTACTTCGATACTGAATTTCCCAGACTGTATATATATTATTATTGCTACTAACCGCATTTCTGGATCTACTAACCGTATTACCAATTGTATTATTACGTCAATGCATTTATTTGCTATATTTCATTCCTGCGTTTGTCATTCATTTTGAGACCGGATTTCATCCCGGAATCCACAACAAATGATCTGACAGATTTTATTACTTAAACGTTATATATGTGTGTGTGTGTGAGAGTGTGTTTGTTTGTTTGTTTGTGTGTGTGTGTGTGTGTGTGTGTGTGTGTGTGTGTGTGTGTGTGTGTGAGAGAGAGAGAGAGAGAGAGAGAGAGAGAGTAAAGATCATGTCAAGAGTTTGCAAACATATTATCGCCGATAGCATTTTTACGTTACCTGGCATACATCCAATAATCCGACCACCTCCCTTGACTTATGACAATTCAAATGTAATATATGTACTTTTTTTAAAACAAATACCAAACAGTAAATTATATCGGTGAAACGGGTACGGAATTCTGTCTTCGATATAATGACCATGAAAAAAATATCAAAAACAACAACATCAATTTTTTTAAGCATTTCACCCCAAGCAAGGTGGGAGTGCCACTAGCACGCAACGGTTTACAGAGAGTAGCAGCCAGAGTAAAGAGGCGTGATAGAGGAAAGGATGAAGAGAAGGACGGGGAAGAAGAGAATATCAAGGCATCTGGAGATGTCGATTGACATTGCATTTGAATATTTGGAAATCAGGGAAGCAAGTAAGAGGAAGGGAGTTCCACAGATGGGAAGTGCGAGACATGAAGCTATTGGAGTAGAAGATACGGCTGCATTTAACCGTTTCGAGAGTGAAAGGGTGGGACTGAGATGACGATCTAGTAGCACGTTTAAATTCATGTTGTTTGGGAACCGGCGAATGTAGCTCGTCGAAGCGTTTACCGTGAAAGTATTTGTAGAAAAGACAAAGGAAGCGACGACACGTCTGTGAGAGAGCGACTGTAAATGAGATGCCAGATAAGGGCCAATCACAATGCATATCTGTCTCTGGAATTTGTCGAGGACCTTAAGACGAACAGCGGAAGCTCCAGACCATATATGGCAGCAGTAATCCATGCAAGGGTTGATTTATAGATTTGAAGGATAGACTCGGGCGAGAAAAACTTTCTGGCGCGACACAGAGAACCAGTTTTTCTTTCAGTGGGGTGCCCTCGTGGAGTTGAGCATCAGACATTCTAATGGGAGGCAGGCTGAGTTCTCTGTGGTTGGTAAAAGAGAGCGGTTTTGTTTTTGAGACATTAAAGTTTATCAGCCATTTTTGGCACCAGTCAACAATAGATTGGAGGTCCTTTTCTAGGCCAACGACCAGGTTAGTTTTGTACACTATAGCTACACATTTCAACCAAACAGACCATGCCATTGATTACGTTAGATGCATCCTTTTGGTATCTTCATTTAAATGCGAACAGGAACGCCGAAAATACGATTTAAAATACATTTTTCAAATAAATAAACACAGTCGAATCCATTACCTTCGAATTACAGTCGAATCCATAACTTTCCCAAGGGTATTAGCACGTAAGTTATGAATTCGACTGTAATTCGAAGGTAAATGGATTCGACTGTAATTCGAACTCGGCTCTCCGATTCCTCCGAGACTGCTATCCATTACTCCACCGTCAAGTCCGTAGAGGGGTTGTAGAAGGCTTTTGCGGAAGATGTATTCATTGGGTATGCGTAAATTAAACCTAGAATGTGTTTATTTTTCCCGTAGTAGGTTGCCATTTCTCTCTGCGATAGACCATTTGTCATCCAGGGCTATAGAACACGGTCTGTTCTACTATTTACCCATAGCAAATTCATTTACGTGCTAATATTCTTGGGATAGGTATGAATCCTCCCAGCTATGGGTAAATAGCAGAACAGACCGGGTTCTATAGCCCTGGATGGCAACTGGTCTATCGCAGAAAGAAATGGCACCCTACTGCGGGGAAAAAATCTGCCTCGCCAGTCATGTATCGAAAGATACATGATCGCCTAAGCATGTTTCACACATGGCACATAACTGATTGAATATAACACATGCTAAAAAGATTCCCCAAGAAGCCCCACTTTATGTTTTATTTGTCATTGAGAAAGGATACAGTCGTGTCTTCGAAAATTCTGATTTTTATAATCCTTCTTCTCATGCTTCCATTTACTCTAAAGGCATAGAGATCCTTCCCCTGCCCCCCCCCCCATTAAAATGTCTGATAGTCAACTTCCTGAGAGCAACTCCCTGCGTCTGCTCGGTCTCACGCTGACTGCTGACCTGAGATGGAACAAATACATTGAGTCAATTGCTTCTTCCACCGCGAGGAAAGTTGGATCTCTGTGCCGCGCCAGGAAATGTTTCTCCCCTGAATCGATACTTCAAATATACAAAACAACCATTCGCCCTTGCATGGAGTATTGCTGCCATATATGGGCTGGAGCACCTTCTGTTTACCTCGGAGTTCTTGACAAGATCCAGAGACGGATATGTAATCTAATTGGCCCTGATCTGGCGTCTCGTCTGCAGTCACTCTCTCACAGACGCGCCGTCGCCTCTCTCTGTATTTTCTACAAATACTTCTATGGTAATTGCTCTGATGAGCTGCTTTCACTGGTCCCCAGACTCCATGAATTCAAGCGCCCTACGAGGCTAGCATCCCGCTCCCACCCTCACACTGTAGAAACTTTTAAATATAGCCGTCTCTTCTACTCCAGTAGCTTCATACCTCGCACCTCTCGCCAGTGGAACACCCTCCCCAATTACTGTTTCCCTGAGAGCTATAATCTCCAACTATTCAAATGTAATGTCAATCGATACCTCCAGTTACCTTGATCTACCCACTATCCTTCTCCTCATCCTTTCTCCTATCACTCCTATCTGCTCTCGCTCCAAATCTTCCACAACCCCCTGCATCCTAGTGGCTTCCCGCCTTGCTTGGG